CTCAGGTGGCGTTACTGGAACCGATGGTTCAGCTCGGACGCCAGCAAGGCCAGCCCGACCAGCCTCGTCAGCGTGGCGACGAACGACAACTACACGCGGCTGGTGCTCCGCAACCCCAAGACCGGCGGCGTCGGGGACAGCGGCGACAGGTCCGCCCGTGGGGGATCCTTCGTGTACATCAGCGTCCCCGCCGCGCTCGGCACCGACGAGGCCCACGCCATCACCGTTGCACTCCGCGGAGCCCCCCCTTCCTTCTCACACGCGGCGAAACTCTCGAGCGGCAGAAACAGCGCCGCCCAGGAGGACGAGAACGACGTCTTCACCGTGTACATCAAGGACCTCGGGAAATGGACGAAGACCCTGAAGGACACGGCAAGGGGCGCGGAGGCCGCGGGGGACGCTCGCTCGCTACTGGTGGACGTGGACGGCTTCTACACCCAGGTCCAGTCGTTCAGCTCCATGAAGGTCGCGGGGGGGACGTCGCGCGTCATGGTGGTTGCCGGGGGGTCGGGAATGACTTCTCTCATGGGATTCATCCAGGTGAGAGGGTACGAGGGTATTTTGGCGGCGGTCCCATTCCCAGGGATCGGAAGTTGGAATACAAAGTCTACGGCGACAGCTCGGTACCGGGAGCCTCAGTTTGTGTTTTCAAGAGGTTGGGCAGCGCCGGCCATGCTACCTTACACACAGGCGACGTTTATGAACGAAACAAATGCGTCATGAGAGCGTTATGTGCCCTTGAAGAGTGGTACGTAGCGACCACCAGTGGTGCAGGATTTTCAATGCGCCCCGTCGGTCCTGACCCTCTTTCTCAGGACTGGGCGGTCGCCGCAAGGGAAGGCGCCGACGTTCCGGAGGTAAACCTGGCCTGGTGCTGCGCGGTACATGTCGGAGATGGAACTGGTCGGCGAGTGTCTCCCCTCCGTGCTCGCCAGCGCCGGCAGCAAGAAGGACACGCACTTCTCGATGTCCCTCTACTGCAGCAGCAGCAAGGTGTGCCCTGCCGAGTTGTTGTTGTTCTCGGTTTTCCGCGTAGCTTCTGTCACCCGGTGCCGTCAATATACTCTGCAGCGGCGAGATAGGCGCGATGGCGAAGCCGCAAAGCTTTGTCGTTGTGGGCAAGCACAACTAGTCTCAATGCAGTCGCACTAAAGGGCCGTTGGAAAAGTAGTCTAACCCTTGCTGGGTTTTCACTACTGCGGCTCGGAAAATGGCATCGACGCTCGCTGGAATATGCATTTCTGGAACGTGAAGATCGCACCTACCCCAATCTCAGGTTTCCTCTCGCGCCCTGTCCGTCTGTACGTCTATCTCTCTCCCTCCCTCTCTCTGGCTCTCTGGCTCTCTGGCTTCCCTGAAACTTCTTCGCCCCAACACCGATGGCGAAACAATCGCCCAACATCACCAAAGGCTGACAGCAACGAATCTCTCACCGTCACATGGCCCCTGGACGCGAACGCCTACGCCCACACTAGCACCCAGGATAACGTCATCGGCACCGGCCACGTCGCCGCCAGCCTCAACCACAGCGTTCGCGTTGTCGTGGCGGGTGAGAAAGCAACACGTCAACATGTGTACACCATGTAAAGCCAAACGCAATGTGGTGGCCATCTCATGTTGATACTTGATTGTGTTTGTCCACCCTGTAGGGCCCCGCACACTACCGAGTCGGACGAAAGGCCTCCGGAAATTTCCCAACAACGGCATTTTGTTGTGTGCGACCACATGCGTGGGAGGTAACCAGCGGTAGTTGGTGTTGGCCGAGGTCCTCCACGCGGAGAAATACGCGATTAATAGTTAAGTGTGTTGTTTCGTCAGGTGCCCAGGGAATCGGCCAGACACCGTCAGTAATGTTCAGAGTCCAAAACAACTTTGGTTGTTTCACTCTGTGCCGGCCAACAAACCAGCACAGTACCGGGCACCGGCACTAAACAGGCCTTCCCCACTGTACCACCAATGCATACGACATGACAGGTCTCGCCGCGTTCGCGGGATACATCCTGGGCTACTGGGAGGTGGACCGACGGGACCTGATGAACGTGTTCCACGAGGGGGCCATCATCTTCGTCCTCATGGTGATCTGCATCATCAGCTCCCTGATCGTGTACGATTGGCTCTTCTTCTTAGTCCGTAAGCACCTCCTCGGCAAGCGTGTGGACAGCGCCGAAGCATCGCAGGTGAATGGGAGTCCGCAAGCCGTTGTTAATGTTTTTGGTCGATACGGCATTACGCGGTGGTGCTACGCTTTCGCGGGATCCGTCACGTGATCCTTCGTGTAATCGAGAATTGATCATATCACGATCGAGTCAGGTGCTGCTTGTGTTCCGTGGAACACGCCGAAGCATCCCCGAGGGGGGGGCGCAGCCATCATGTCTGGTTGGTTCATGATACTGCTAGATCTTGTTTCTGCAACCGTTCCCCTTCCTAAATTCGCCTTGTCGCAACCTACATAATATTGTCGCTGTGTTCATTTAACTCGAGGTAACCGCCTCTTCTTCTGATAGACACGGACAATATGGCACTGATGCTTCAAACAGCCCCCCACTGTATATCCTCATTCTTTCGCCTCGTTATCGCCCACCGTCGTCATTGCGGCCGCTCACTCATCACCAACCCCGTATACCTTCATCCACGCCATTTGTTTTAGGCCAGCGGGCGCTCCGCCAGAGTCGGCGAGGAGTCCAAGATGGACCTCGAGTCCTCCACCGTGGCCGGCGTCGGCAGCGTCACCTACAACGTCAACCCGGGCCGCGTACCCACGCAGGCCCTCCTGATCCGGGAGGCCGAGCTCGCCAAAAAGAGCAACACCTCGTCCGTCAGGGTCCTGACCAGCGGACCCAACTCGCTCGTGGACGGCGTGCTCGCCGAGTCCCGCGCGATCGACTGGAAGCTCTTCGACACCGAGGCGTTCTCGTTCGAGTTCTAATTTTGTTTTTCCCCGGCCTTTCTCCCTCCCGTGGTTTATGTATTCGGAAAGATTGTCCCGTCTTTCTCACGTCAGAAGACGCCCAGCTCCTCCGGGTGCTGCGGCGACACTCTTCAAGTAACCTACGCCGGCCGCGCGATCGAGTGTTTTTTGTATTTA